CTCTCATATTATTTAAATGTAATTGACATCAGAATTTAATATCCTTTCTATTACATTATGTCTAAAGCAAGTGATATTTAATAAATTATCATTCTCAATAGTCTCTCAATTACTATACATAAGTTCCAAGAAAACATATAAAAGATTTAAATAAACAATGGTGGGCATAATATGTAGAGTAACAACCATATATAAATTTTTTTGCGTGTAATGGTAGGATATATATTACATTTTCATATCAGATTATGAAATAAGACACAGAAAAACCATTGTATTGTGTAAATATAGTTTTAAATGTTAAAGTAACTAAGTCCGTAACTCAATATCATCCAAAATCTTCGACAATGAAAACACGAATTGTTTGGCAATTTAAATCAGCATTGGTGTTGTGGTCTTACCTGGAAAAGATGGGCTTCTGATATCCAATATTTAAGACAAAATAAACATTTTACCATTGGTACACGAATCGTGTACCATAATGCGTTTCAGCGCCATTTGTAACAATGTGCTCAAAGAATGGGGCTTGACATATTCCACAAGTCATGTCAAACGGTGATGCCATATTCTTATTTGGAGAGCATGCGCAATATATACTATCGGTGTTGACTGGAATAACCAGACGCTAGAAACTGTCTTTCGGTTGAGACTTCTGGCGTATTTCGCCGAACATAACTGATGACAATTCACAGTAAAACGGAAACGATTGAATGTAAAACAGTTTATATAAATTCATTTTACATTATTATGTGTTGCGACCCATTTGTCCCAATTTCTAGGCCCAAAATATTAGCGATTAAGCTCCTTTAAAATCTCATAATATCACTTCATGCTGTGATGAATTGAATGACTTTTTCCAAGATGTCATTTCCTCAGCTGTGAGCTGGAAACGACAAGGTTTTGGATAATTTATTATTGACTAGCTGGATACCGGGCTTGGGGCCAATTTCACTCGGGCCCAAAATAGCATGGGGACCAAATTCGCCCGGGGACCAAATTTGAGGGCTTAAAACATTCTTGAGGTCATGCTGGTTATTTTGATAAAATATATCGTGGGGGTGGAGAGCAGCGACAGAGCGTTAATCGCCCGTGACCAGGGCCTAAAATATTCATACGGTCCTGCTGGTAAATATGATACCACGTATGTGGGGTTGGGTAGCGGCGAACATACGATACTCACATCTTTGATTTTATTTATATAGATTAAAAACAGTTTAATTGTATGCCTTGGATTGAGAACGGATCGACCTACCCTATGTTTATATTTATTATCTAAATATAAGTCCACGCCAGCTGTACTTATGCCCGTCTTCATTAAAGCCCATTTCGTTTCAGTTAATTTAAACTCCATTAGGATGTTTTCTCAACCTTAGACAATGAGTATACGAAGTTGTTTTAACCGACAGCATCGTATTGTTTTAAATAAAATCATTGGTTTACACCACATGACCTTGTTTTCAGATTAATATTTATGTAACCAAATCCAATTCTCTTTCATTAAAATACTAAATGTTGCGGGTTCTTGTTTTTTTTTCTTATCATCAATAATAATAATTATAATCTGAAATAGTAGTTTTTGTGGGACGCAGCTCCTGGAAAACAAATATTGACTCTTTTCATAGTTTTGACGACTCTGTGGACAACTTGAACATGAATTGGTCTGAACTGTAGGATATATTGACCAACACCAATCATAGTTGTTTGGATCACTTCCCGTCTCCATTATTTAACTCTACAGTTTCCAGCACGTTAAATAGCTAGTACTATATTGCTATCCTGACAGCGAAAATTTGGGGTTTGACGGAGTGTGTCTTTTTCTATCGTCCAATTCAAATCTCTCCTGAGTCTATTCAGCAGCCACCCTTGGGAATTTTCATGACTAACCGCTCGACGGGAGTAACCATTTAATAAAATCGGAGTGTTTGTTAGTACTGATATGAAGTCAAATCAGTCTTATCTCTTTGATCTGGGGTCTTCCCTAAAACTTTGGTGAAAATATCCTTAGACATGTGACATTGTAGCAATATCTGATTACGATACAAATTTGTATTTTGTTTCGTTTTTTATACGCCCACATTTTCATTATAGCGTCGCCCCTGTCCGTCCGGTTGTCCTCTGGACGCCCGTACGTAAAGCTGCATTTCCTTTAGTACGGCTCCGGTTCGGGAGTAGACATAGCACACGGCAGGTTGTGTATCCTTATATGCGGTTATTCAAGCGGAAGGGCCCTCTTTTCAACATGGCACCCGGCATTGTCAAGATTCGTAAAAGAAGAAAAAAACTATTTTTAGCTTTTTCCCGTGCGGGCTACCCAAACTGTGTTTCGTTATGTGCGTTTAAGGACACGGTTCCGCATGCGTTTCCGTACCGAACGCTACATGGTCCGTTTCGAAAAACCGTACCGGACGCCGCATACAGAACCGTATCCGCACCCACACATAAGGAAACACTCTTACTAAAATTCTATGAAAGTGTTTTTTCCGTATCCGCAACCGGACCGGATCCGTACTAAAGGAAATGTAGCTTAAGTGGACATTTTATGTCTCAATTTTTATCCGATTTTGACGAAACTTGAGATATAGGGTTATACCACAAAGATCTCGGTTCCTGTTGACATTTGCATGTATCGGACCTTAACTTCATGGGATATGGCCCTTGAGTGTACGAGTGTGACCAAGGGGTACAAAATAAAAAAATGTTTTGCATTTATTCGGATACGAGTTATAGAATATGTATGTATACAGCGGTGCACTGTAGGGACAGTTTTTCTCGGACAACAGGATTTCCTCCTATTCTTCATCTGTGGCTCTCGCTATATGATTTACAATAGTGAGAGAGAGATGGGGTTTAACGTCCACTCGACACAAAATAGGTCATTTTTGGACTAACATATGGTTTAATTTTATTTCAATAATTCGCTTGCGCGTAGGGGTCTTTAGCAGTGGGAGGAAACCGGATACAATAATGAACAAATATGGAAAACGTAAAACAAACACTACATAGCACGAATCAGTATTTACTTTGCTGTATTTATTTCACAGTGTACTGTTAGTTAAATGATTAATAATTAAGGACAATTTGAAAACCACTAAAAAGCATGAGTTGGTATTTAAAGATGGGGTGTTACAAAAACGCGAAATGGGATGATAACCGGAACGGGCGACGGGATGCTTATCGGTACATTCAGATAAGTTTTGCAAAATATAACTGCGAAGAATACAGTCTAGCATGAAGAATTTACAGTACCAAACACTAGTCTTGTCATTTCTAAGTTAAAGCTGTATGCTGAGAGCTATGGACAGTTGCATATGATGATTTTCATAAGATTTGTTCACCCATTTTTGATCGATATGACCACGAATTAACGTTTACCGTTTGTAGGTCACCCATTCTCGGTAGCAAAACTATATCGACAAGGAAACTGACGAATTCTAAACGAAAGCAAATGTGTCCCAATCTCCTAAAAATGAAGCCGACGGGGTTAGTGTAGTAGAGCGGAACGATACTACTGGGGATACCGAGGATAGCTGGTTTCCTTCCGCAGCTAAACACTCGCCAGCGAATTACTGAAATAAAATTGAACCATGTTAGTCCCGAGATGACCTAGTTTGTGCCGAGTGGGCGCAAAATTGTATTTCTCTAGCTCTCTGCGGGCAATTTTACATACAAATAATTTTACCTTTGACCGGTATCTTTAAAACATTTCAAATTACATTTTAAAAATATATCTGCTTGTATTGTGTGTTTAAAATAGAGAGTTTAAAGTAAAACGAACTGCGTCATCACGCTGTAATATTTATCTTCTTATGGTGGCAAATTATGTTAACAATGTATAAAAGCCAGATATTATTTCAATAGTTTCGTTGCCTTCCGTGTTTTAGCAAAACCCTTGTAAGAAGAACATAATTGGTTTCACAGCTAATGATGTTAATACCTTTGTCAGACATACAATAAACTAATTGCTTAAGCTGATCGTTGGTTCATTGGTTGCTATAATATTGGAGGCGTTACTAAATAATATTCAATGTAAACTTGAATGTCAGATGCAGTAAACTTCAGTTCACTTCTAATCATTTCTAACTTATTATTATCAAGACTGTCGCTGACGATTCGTGTTGTCTAAATAAACCTTGCGATTTTATGTATCCATGTGCGCCATCAACATGCCGTCCATTTTGAACGTGTACAATGTTCTAGGATTGTTGGCAACTAACGTGTGTGTGTGTTCTCAGAATTTAGAAAAACAATGGAATGTCAGTCGAAGTACGGTCAAAGTCGATAGGCCCTGGAATTGTTCAAACAATATTATGAAGTCATTGACTGCTATCATTAATACACTTAATTGGTCGGATGCCAATATTTTCTACGAATCTAGAGACGAGGAAATAATGAGGAATATCACCCATTCTTTCGAAAATAGCCTGCCTTTCTTCCAATTGACCGTCTATGAAGTAACAAAGCTGTCTTCATTTACAGAAATTTTACAAAGAATTTATCTGCAACAGTATCCAGACATTCACGTTATACTTCTACTTCGAAATTCGACTTTGGATCTTTTAAAAATGGCGGATAAATTCGACGGATATTCAAATAAAACAACTAATTATAAATCAGCTTCAGAGTGGATTATTTTATCTCATGAAAAACTTGATCTCGTTAATTTTCATTTACAGAACGTTCTAATACTGTTTTGTGACAACGATCGTTTTGTTTATCCCACTTCAGTTGTAGACGGAAGCTTACTACTGATCAACTGTCTCAATTACCAAGATACCCAATTGGAACCGTGGCAGCATTCAACTTGTTCGGCCAGTCGTTTGTTTCCAAATATCCAACACAGACACAACAAGCGGCATCTTGTTATAGGAACAATCGTATCACCTGTACCAAGCTTTTTACAACATTATGTTGACGACAAGAATCAAACGGTCTACACGGGAATTCTGGTGGAGCTAACTCAGCGATTGGCCCAACTTTTAAATTTTACATTCACATTTAAACTCGTCGCGGATGGCAATTACGGCGGCCAAAATGAAGTGGGGGAGTGGCAAGGGTTGGTAGGACAGCTAACTCGTCAAGAAGTAGACATTGTTATCGCAGATTTGAGTCTAACTAAAGAACGCTCTCGGGTGATCGACTTTATTTTACCGCCATTTCATACGACTAATTTGGCGGCTTTGTGCAAGAAAGGAATAAACACTGAGGATGACTGGATTAAAATATTTCGCCCATTCCAAGGTTGTATTTATTTAATAATTATAGCAACTATTGTTTTTGTGGCCATCTTGTTTTATTTATTAACGGCGTATTGTATCCGTTTACCTGGTGACGAAGGGGGAGGAGACTTCTTAGGGTCAAAAGACCTGATGCTGCCTCTGCTCCATATCTTCATATCGTTGCTTGGTGTGTTGTGTGCACGTGGTAACAGCCTAGAAACTAAGAATATGCCGATTAGGGTTTTGGTGGGTTCCTTTTCCATGTTATGTGTGATACTAAGCAGTGTTTATGTTGGTAATTTAACCGCCTCTCTAACGACCGTCAAATATACGAAACCATTTAATAATTTAGAGGAACTTGTAGAGCTACCTGATTGGAGATGGGGTATGCCTTACTTTGAAATATATGAACAAATTATGAATACTTCCAAGGACCCAATTCTGCAGAAAATATGGAAGGGACTGGTGGAATTTAACAAAACTGACCCAAGTACCTTTGCCATGGATACCAATGTCCACATTGACAAGCTTCTGACTTCGGGAAAAAAATATGTTTACATAGGTCCTGGTTCAAAATATCATATGTTGAACAGGAACGACTGTAATGTAGAAATAATTGATAGCATATATTCCTATTTTCCATCTGCCATTGCAGTCACCAAAAATTCCTATTTAAAATCAGATCTTGAATATGCAATGGGAAGATTAACAGATGGTGGATTTATCAAAACTTTGGAGGATAAACTGTACCAAGACAACCGTCCATCGAATTGCAAAATAAAAAAAGAGAAACGTCCTTTACAAGTGGATGATATTTCAGGTGCATTTTTCGTAGCTTTGATTGGGTTGGCTATCACACTATTAGTCCTGTTGGTAGAAATCATTGTGAAACAAATAATGGGAAGCAAGCTAGATAAATGCCGATATGCCTGACGAAACTGATCAAATAAGTGCGCTAAAGGATATATTTTGGTTCGTCTTTTATTAGTATTGTTTGAGATTAATACCGTCAATGCCTAATCTCATCTTATAAAGTATAAAACATTCTACTCGTAGGTAAAAATGGGTATTTTTATACGCCCATATGTTACCAGTTCTCAGTCCATCTCTTGCAATATGGCAACCGCTTGGCACGCACGGTTGATCAAAGGAACCAGGAAAAGGGATCATATTACTCCAGTATTGTGCGAACTTCACTGGCTTCCAATTAAATCTCGAATTAACTATAAAATATCATGAACATTTAAATCAATAAAGGGCACCGTTCCAGATTACATATCCGACCTACTTGTCAAACCACAACACTCTCGAACTCTGCGATCAAATAATAAAAAACAAATGTGTAGACGTTCTTTTAGATATGCTTCATCTGTACTTTGTAACTCGATCGATCCTAATCGTCCCCTTAAAAACTCCAATCAACTAACATTTTCAGACGTCGGCTTAAAACATATCTGTTCCAGTTACACTTTGGAACCGAAGATCAATCATAAACTTGGCAAGGGCATTATGACCTAATTGTTACTATGGTGTTTGTGCGCGATATATGTTTCCGTATTATTATTATTTTTATTATTATTAAAACCACATATTCGGTACATTTATTTAATTCATCTAGCAATCAAATGTATTAACTTTCTTAACTGTAATTATGGGCATGCTTTAAAGGGGCATTAGGTACGATTTGATAACGAGCTGACAGTTCTTGCTATAATAGATAAAATATAGATATTGAGAAGAGAATATGCTGAAAATGTCAGTCAAATTGCTTCACCCCGAACTTAGATATTAGTGATTCAATTTTAGCCTCGATCGTCATTACTACCGTAGTAACGATAATAAACAAAGTCTCCATTATCCATTTTTTACGGTTTTATCATCCACAACAAAACGTATTCAAATCCACTAAATGTCGCAGGCTAATCATGGCATCGAGAATTGATTATGGTCCTGATAATTAATGTCTAATTAATAATTTAGATAACATTTAAAGCCTCAAAAAAGACTGCATGTTAATATATCAACTAGAAGTTTGATTCAAGATGCATCATGTAACATAATTTAGAAAGTTTGAAAATAGCTAGTTAATGATCAATGGATATATTCAAAATTTTATTCAAATTACTTTATTCTGGGCGAAGTTTTGAACGTTTGAAGTGTTGATAAGAATAGTGCCATTTTCTACAATAATACACGATGTCTCGATTTTTCGTTAACCGATATCAAATAGCGCGGTCGCTCTAATCCAATCAATATCTAAGCCATCCGATGATCTATGAATTTGTTAAAATATAAATAAATGATTGACTTTAATTGAAAAGAAAATATATCATAATTAAATAAACCAGACTACACGCATTAAGTTAGGAGTCATTCTACAAATAGACCGCTATATCTGAGGTGGAAGATACAACAATGAGTAGTAGTTTCTTTGGGTGAGCAATATACTTCGAGATGAAATGATATGGAGTTTAACTGTTCTGCTTCGACTGGGCTTATGAAGACGGAATATACTTGGAAATACGTATCAGGGTATAAATATTTAAGCAAGATCCGAACTCTGTGTGTGTGTTCAGTACCACGAAGAAGTTGGTTATTTATCTTAAGCAGCCTAGGTTATTGATTTCACGCGATTCTAAAAATAACTGATCAAGATAACCAATTAATATAAACTTTATTGTTTTAAAGGTGTGACATAGTGTAAAGTACATTTGTAATATTAAGATTCGATATTTGCGAATTGATAAATATTTATTTTATGTTGTGCTATAAAATAATCGACGATGGAATCAGAGCAAAACAACGATCGTGTTGAAACGGTTTCACGGTCAGCATAGGGAACAATTTATATTTAATACAACTTTATAGATTTACTATATCAAACAGTTGTGTACCCTTGTCATAGGTGCAAATAAAGATGCCGGGGGGAATTTTAGTAAACCCGTGCGTGAGACAAACGTTTCACTAAAATTGGTTCCACTACTGATGTCTACCGCCATACTCCAGCAGTGGCTCGTTCTACGGAGTTCCTTTAAGCAAGTTTTTTTTAGTCAAATGACTACAAAAAGGTTACTGGCCTATAGCTCCCTTAATTTACACATAAACTGACCCCAAACTGTACTGCTCATAGCTTAAGATATAAAAAAAACAATTCCCATTGAAATAAAGGTGAAGCCCTACCGCATAATTATATGATTTGAAGAAAACCAACTGCTACGCGAAATTTCTCTCTTATCCAACTTAAAATGTTCGCCCAGTCAGAAATAGCATGCGCACTGCATCTCACGTGATCTTACGTCACCTTCCATATATGGCCTTCATGACCATAATTATAATTATACTAATGACTTTAGCGTGGGAAAAAATGTCCGAAACAATAATAGACCGTGTGTTGCGGAGGATGGGTATTCATTTCTCCCTCAAACGTGAACAAAAATTGATTATTGACTATGTTGTTCAGAGGTCGGATGTAATGGCCGTCTTGCCAACTGGATTTGGCAAATTTTTAACATTTATGAACCCATTAATTTTAAATGAGGTAAGAATTTTTCGTCAAAAGTTAACAGAAAAAAATTAATGAATGAATAAAATCGGGTTTAATCAATTCATTTTTGATAATTAATTTTAAAAACTAAATATGTTAACAAACTTTTTATGTTTATGTGTTTTGATTTTTGTTTTCACTTTATATGATCGATTAATTCATTGTGTGTTTTAGATGTATCATGGCAAACAGCACACTGTTTTGGTGATATCCCCACTAAAGACCTTAATGAAGGACCAAGTTAACATTCTAAACAGGCAATCCATTCTATCCGTAGCAATAATGGAGGAAACAAATGTAAAAGGTGTGTCTTCAGATTGTCAGTTTTCCACAGATTGGGCTTTGTTTCATTTCTAAAATATGCTCTTTAAACTTGCACGGATAACAATTAATAATACAATATGATATGCATTTATTTTTTCCATCTATTTGTAGATTTAGAAGGCGGAAATTTTCAAGTATTTTTTTTCCTCTCCAGAATCCATTGTTTTACCTAGATGGAGGAAAGCACTGAAAGAAAATTGTGGAAAAAAACATGCGTATTGGTGTATGATGACTGATGAGGCACACTGCATTTCCTCTTGCATTTCCTTAAACGAGGGTTGGGTGACCGAACAGTTTGGGTGTGCGCGTTGGATCATAAGGTCTATCATTGAGTAAAGTGGCTTGGTTTTGATTCCCACTTCTACGTGACAAGGAGTGGGGTCGCTTGTTCAATCTCGTGTATTTTTTCTGGGTCCTCCAACTGCAAAAGATCCGTACATGCAAGCGAATTATAGAAATAAAACTGCTTTAAAATATTTTGAACATAGTTTTTTTTATACCATTATCTTTTATTAAAATTGTTATGGTTTGATTTCCGACCAACACATAGACAAATTACACTTCTTCAAAGCTTATATGATGCGCCAAACCTTGTCCTGACAGCAACAAGATAAATTCAAGAGGATGTATTTGATGTATTAGGTTTTAAAAAAGAGAAAACACAAGTTGTAGCTACTTTGGTGATAGGTAATGAAAGACTAGTCTTATATGTTACAGCTCAAGTTTAAATGAAAACTTAACATGGATTTTGATGTTATGTTCTAATTATGTGCTCAAAAGCAATATTCTGCTTGATTTGTTGTACACCTGCCAAAAAATCGACTGAAAACTTTTGCTAGACAGAGAAGTTCATGGAGTGGAAATTAACGCCATCTATCTAGTATCGTACGTCGAATTGCAAAACCGCGTGTTAGAGGATATGAAAACGTAAACGAACATATGTTCGTTTTCGTACCGATTCGAACGTTCCCTATTATCGTCTAGGACTTTCTTTGACTTCATGTTGTGATAACTATTTCCAATGATCAATTAAGTCTGAAACACTGTTTTTGTTGTTGCTATGTTTATATATCGAATACAGCAAACTACAAAGTTTAAATACAGGAAAACTACAACATCGATTATAGATACTTTAGGAGTTATTAAAATATCCACAGTCTGTGTTTAACATCCTTTAAAACTCTGACCTAACGGCTAGGATTGTTTGAAGGGAAATGTAACCTCGATCTTTCCTGTATAGAAAGTATAATGCGTCGTCTATTAGGATGGCACGATTGCCATTTGTGGGTTAGTGCTTCGGATAGGCACCGTTTTACGTCAACACTATTCTAGTTAATTGTACTAATCCGTGCACGAGATGACTGGACTATAGTTGGGGTAAGTGACCATACGCGTGCCCTTTATATCAGAAGGTCAGTCATCGAGTCAAGTGGCGTTGTTTCCATCCCCTGCTTGTACGTGACAAGGAGTAGGGTCCCCTGCCCAAACTCGTGGGTTTTCTTCACGGTCCTTTCTTCGACTGCTAAAGACCCTTGCACTGTGAATTATTGAAATAAAATTGAACCATATGTTAGTCTCTCTAATGCTGTATTATTGTGTACTGCGTTCCCTTCGCAGCCCTAGCATATTCTTAGACATCCAGGCATCAAGTGAAAAATTTCAAGAAGAGCTACAATGGTTGTTAAGTTTCATTGAAAATGGTAACAAAAGGGTCATCCTTTATGTTCGGTCATTAAACCACTGCTACCAAATATATCTTTGGTTGATGGCATCAATAAATTTTATTGATAAAGATATAGATACAACTGATAAATTAGATATGTTTCATGCCAATACTGATAATAATTCCAAAGATCAAATACTGAAACAATTTGTTGACGAAAATGGAAATATCAAGGTTTTGGTAACCACTGTAGCCTTTGGTATGGGAGTAAATATTTCCAATATTGATGTTGTTGTTCATTGGGGTTTACCACCATCAGTTTTTGTGTCCGAAAAGCAATTTTAGAAAAGGTTTTAATCAAAGGTATGAATGAACATGACATTGATACATGCAGAAACTTCT